TAAATTTTCATTGAAATTAATAATAAATTTTTTTAAAAGATTTCTGAAAGAGATTTCTAAAACAGCAAGCTTTATAAAGAATGGCCAGATACCAGATGCTCTGCTGGAGAAGGAGCCGCAATCTCCTCCTGTACCAATCAGATCCAATTTGATGGTACACAACAAGAAAAAGAAGAAGGGGGGCGGGGGAAGAATGGGGAGTAGCCAAGGGGGAATTCCTGGTTGCCACCAGGTCCTCCCCGAGTGTTTATTTAGGGTGCTAGTTTACAGAAACGACAGTCTTTTGGAAACAGAGAGAGACAATGTTTTCCTATAGTTAATAGATTAAGTCTCCTGTTTCGTAATACAGCTGCCATGCAGATGTCAATTTGGTCTTGGACTACAATAAACTGAGTTGCAATATTGTCTAGTGACTTTTTTTGGAGAGTTTTTGAGAGATACTGGCACTTTTCTTGGGAGATTCCTAAGGCTGTGTAGTGTCAGAAGTAGTTCTTGTTAACAATCAGGCTGGACCCTACGGGGCAGAGTCCTACGATGGTTGGTTTGTACTTGAGGTGATGGGTTAGATGGGCAGGTATTAGTCGGGAGGTGAGTGGGCTTGGTCTGCAGGTAGGCGGAGAGGTTGTGTCTGTAGGTGAAGAAGAGACTGCTTCTTTCTTCTTTTTTAAAAAAATTGAAAAAATTTATTATTGTTTATACCATCATTCACTTTTATACAATTATTCATATACATTTTTTCATTCATGTACATTTAGTTTTATACAATCATTTCTGTACATTATCTAGTGTGTGTGTGTTTATTCTGATTTATTTACAAAGTTTGAATACATTATTTTTCACAAAAGATCCTTTCCATTTCCCTCACTTCACCCACCCATTGAATTGTGCAACTCTATGATTATGCATCTTCTTTTGTAATCATTCGAATAACTTCAAATAAAAATATTTTTTCTGGTTAAAAAAAAAAGAGACTGCTTCTTGCTTGCAGACAACGTTAGAAGTTGACTTTGAAGAGAAGCTGAACCCGGTCTGCATTGACTTCTAGTTCGTATCACCTGAAAGAAGTAGCTAAATAGTTTTCAGTTGGGTGATTTAGAAAGAGATGGACAGGAGGAGCAGTTTGTAACAGAACCCAGTGCTAATTTTGATAGTGTGGGGAGTTTATATTAAGTAATGGAAAGGAGAGATCTGGGCTTCTTCCTTGGCAGAAGGCAGAGTGAGTTTGGTTAAGTTTGGTGATGTTAGTCAGGGTAAGAGTTTAGCTTATGTGGTAGGTTGGGTTGATGGAAGCCCTTCGTAGGTTTGGAGGGTTTTGCTATTTGTGGAGTATGGGTTCATTAGAAAGGGGGAAGGGATTTGGATAAGAACTTTATTGGAGGAGTAGGATTTTAGGAAAATTTCTCAAGAAGGAAAAGATTGTCAGGACAGACTTAGTTGGGAATAGGGAGGGGTGGTTCGCAACATAGGCATGTGGCCTAGGACAATATGTCTGATGCTGGGGACTTGAGGAGGGGTGGGGTGGAAGCTTTGTTTTAATGATATTTGAAGAAGTTTTGAGTGTTAAGTCTTTATATGCTGCAATTGGGGTTTTTTTTGAAGTTACTATTTTTAGTGTATATTTTAATTGCACTCGGGTTAAATTTAAACATGTTATGGCGACTAACAGATCTGTGTAATTTCTGTAAGCTTTTACATAAAGTTTATGACATGCTTTAAAAG